GCAGCAAGGCTTCAGCATATCAGTTCTCGGTTTGCTAAGTTTACGTGTGCTCCCAATGGTGTCCATCCCAGGCATTTCTCGATTTTATCTCTGGAATCTTTGGAAGTGGTCTCATTATTGTATCACATCATGGACACTGTGGGCCAAGCCCCCCCTCAGCTTCAGCAACTCGTCGCGTTCTTGATGGGGGGGCCAGATAAGGGGAGGCGCCCGATAGGCCACTACAATGGGTTCGAGAGGCTCCATGGCAAGACTCACCGAGGACCCTGCAGATCTTGGGAAGATGCTTCAGGAGTGGGACCTGAGTTCTCCATGGGGCAGGGCCGCAGCAGTTTGGACACCGTCTGGAGGCAGTCTGTTAGGTCAGAGTTGGCTACAGGAACCAACTTGTCGCACGCCGCGCTCCTGTGGGATTTGCTCCAATTCTACGAGCATATTGGACATCAAGAGCTTGTGCAACAAAGGCTCTTGTGCGATGTTCCCCTCCATGTTCTAATCTATACGGTATCGACCTACCGCTGGCAGAGGTTTCCTCGTCTGGATGGGGCCTACTCTCAAGGGCTGACCCCGACATCTGGAATTGTTGCTGGCAGTACCTCGGCCACGTACGAGGCCAAGGCATTGATGTATTCAACTATATGCCAAGGTCGCGATGTGCCTTCCACAGGGCAAGGACTACATGCTGATGATATTTCTCTTCACTCGTGGCATGAATGTCCAACTACATGCATTGCGAACCTTAAAGCTCTTGCGACGACCTTGGCATATCATATCTCCCAGAACTTGAGGGTCCCCATAGCTGAGAAGAAAATGTACGCGGCGGCCAACAGTAGTGGACTTCTCAAGGACCTCAAATATTCTCTAGGGCCTCTTTCAGGTAAGTGCTCGTGGGCCCCTGTCAACCTCGGGGTTCCTTTCACTGCAGGGAGGCATCATATGGTTCCCATGGCCAGGGCCATCAAGCTCAAGAGGGTTAAGAAGTTCTCCCATAGGCTCGCGAACTTAGGCACCCTCAAGGTACCCAAGAAGATCAAGTCTAGGCTTTTCAAGGCGGGGGTACCTTCTACAGTTTCATCTGGCATGGAAGTGCAAGGGGTAACACCTACTCAGATTCTTCATGTCTGTCGAGCTGCTGGTCGGATGGCTGGCGTATCCAAGAAAGGCTGTAACATGGACCTCATGTGGGCCCTCGCTGGGAACAAAGGGGACCCGTTGTATCTTGCAGCTGGAGCCCTCAGGCGCTACGCGTGGGAATGGTGGCATGCCAGTGAACCTTCTCAGTATGGCCGCTCGCGACATCGTGATGCCCTGACCCCAGGCGAATTAAGGAAAAGTTTCAACGGCGCAGTAGCCGTTCTGAAGACTACTGAGCGGAAGCCGTGGTTGTATCGGACCCGTGGGCCTATCTCGGCCCTTCTTCTCTGGCTGGAACTCGGCGGTTGGCACTGGGAAGGGCCGGCTACGTTTGTAAGCCAATCAGGATTCAAATGGATCTTGACGGAAAGGCCACCGTCACAAATTGCAGATGCTTTTACTAGTGATTTGAGGAAGGAATTGCTTAAGCGATATGTCCACAAACATTTGACGGACAGCCCTGGAGACTGTGAAATCAAAACCAGGGGCTTGTGGCTCCCCCTCGTTCAGAGGTTTGCGAAATCTTTAGCCCCTCAGCAGTTGCATGTCTACTGCCAAGTTTTGTCAGGCACTGTTCCGACTGGGGCCTTCTTGAAACATTGGGTGTATGAAGTTTCGGACAAGTGCTCGTGCGGTCGTGTAGATACTAGCTGGCACCGGTGCTGGACCTGCAGCAACCCTGAAGCTGTACGTGTTCGGCAGGAGCACTTCAGCCAGGAGGTGGTCGACCAGGCCATTGCTGCAGGGCCCGACAATTCGCTGCTTTCAAATCTGTGGGTCCCGTGGCCCGATTTGCCCAGTCCTGTGGAGGACTGGGAGCTTCAGTTTTTCGATGAAAACGGTGGCTCATGTCCCCCCTTCTTCTTTCAACCGTCCGATAAGTTATTTACAGATGGATCCGCCTTCCATGGAGATAAGGTGGAGGTTGCGAGAGGGGGGGTGTCTGTTGTTCACATGGAAGGTGAGGTCTGCAGACGTGGTGTGTGGGCTGCGCTCCCCCGTGAGTTTGCGCAGCAAGCGGCGGATGCAGAGCATGCTGCACTTGCTCTCAGTGTCCTGCGCCGCGACACCACCCCTGAGTTTTGTGAGCCTGTAAATGTGGACTGTGCTAGCCTGTTTGCGGGAACACGGTATCCCAGCAAGGCCCTTGATGGGGCCAGCCGTCTGAGTTTCTTTTGGCGCGAGTTAGCTCGGAAGATAAATGCGTGTCCTGAGCAAGGCTGGCCCCGTCTCAATAAGATCAAGGCTCATCGAAGCATGAGCTCAGCTGTGGATGATGCTGATAGAGCCACGATTGCTGGATCGAATGCTGCCGACTCCTGGGCGAAGAGGTGTTCTCAGGCACATGAGCTCAGCCCAGGTGAATTAGACGATTTCAAGCAGGGCGAAGATGAGTACACGTCGCTCGCCATAGGTTTGATTTCGGTTCTGCTTGTGTGGCCCCCATTCGAGCAACAATATAAGAATATAAAGCGCCCATCCCAGGTCAAAACACCTAAGCCTAAATCTCTGCATGATCCTGTGCCGCACGGCTCGGGGTTCCGCTGTAAGAGATGCTTGAGGATGGTGAATGCTGACACGACGAGTGTCTGCTCCGAGCCCAATCCCACTCTGTTGGAGTTCCTGAGGGGGGGTGCGGAACCCCACCATAAGCTCCATTGGGATCGGGTCGCAGAGACTGATGTCCCAGTTATATGTTGTGTTGCTTGTGGTCGCTTCGCCAGTGTCAAAGCGAATAAGCTTTTGAAACGGTGCGAACCCCCTCACAAGAGCTCAAAGCGGGCCAAATTGTTGAGGGGACGTCTACCTGGGACCAATTATACCCTGGGGCCGTCCTTTCCCCTTTCCCCTCTGCCCATTTTTTCCCTCCCCTCCCCACCGCCCATTTCCTCCTCCTCCTCCTCCTCCTCCTCCTCCTCCTCCTCCCCTCTCTGCCCTCCTCCTCCTCCTCCTCCACCGCCCCAGGGAGGCCCAGGCTCTGCAGCTGCCGCGGCCAGCAGCAGCTCGCAGGCGAGCCCCGATGCCCTCGCCGCCGTGCGCGCGAGGGTCAGGGAGGAGGAGGACGAGGAGCCTCTTCTCCCTCCGATCGGTGCTCGAAGTCAATCGGAGTCCGATTGATTTTCGGGCACTTCCCCACGCGGTAGGGCCTGCATGGTGCTTCCTGGCCCTTGCGGCTCCACCTTGCAGGCCCTCCTGCGCGGGTGAGGTGCCCCTCTTTTGTCGTAGTGTGCCGCTTGAGCCTAGCTTGAACAGGCACTCTGAGGTCCGCGAGGTCCGCGAGGAGGAGGAGGCGGAGGAGGCGGAGGAGGAGGTAGGAGGAGGCGGAGGAGGAGGAGGAGGAGGAGGAGAAGGAGAAGGAGGAGGAGGAGGTAGGAGGAGCATGGGATGAGGACGAGAGTGAGGACTAGTCGGGGGAGGATCGAAGACACTCCAAAGCTGCCTTCGTCCCAGGTTGGACGTCTCATCTGGAGTTGGCTCGAGAGCGCCCACATCGAGCGAACTTCCATTGGCGACCAGCGAAGGGGGCCATGGCGAGGCGGGGGGCGGCCTTCCGAGAAGGCAGAGCGCTTCTCTCGGAGGGCCGAGCCACCCGAAAACCGTGCGCCCCGCACCCCCTGCGAAGCGAGGGAGCCACTTCTCAGAAGGCCGCCAGCTTGACCCCGCCTCCGTCTGCGCGCCGCCGATTCGAACAGCCTCGGCTCGGGATGCTTTCGGCATGGGTGCCCAAAGTGACGAACGAACAACACACACCCATACCCATAGGGGGATCGTTGGGAGGAGGACTGGCTATGGGTATGGGTGCGTGTCGCCGGCCCCTGGGGAACGCTCCCGTTCGAGCGGGGGCCCCCATCCGACAACACGCACCCATAGCCCTTTCCGACCCCCCTATGGGTATGGGTGTGTGTTGTTGGTTCGTCACAAAGACAATGATGATACAGGACGTCGAAGTAAAGTCACGGAGCTGCCTTAATCGAGCGCGAAGCCCATGGCGACGGTGACTGTGATGACGCTGATGACGTGTACGTGTGATGATACTGATGCTGACACTGCTGACGATGGTGTCCTCTCACAGGGCCGCTCTCCCTTCGGGGGCGCGCAAACATGGATCGGGGGAGGTGCCCTCCCCAAAATGCGGCCAGTGCCCCCTCGTGCGGCGGCGGAAGTCTGGCATCTCCCATGGAAACGGGACCCGTCGCGAATCCACGCCGCCTCGACCCATGTTTGCGATCGCCTGATGCTGCCCTCCTCCCGCCTCTGGAAACCTCCCAGCTGGCCATCGCTCGGACGTCCATTGCCTGTTTTTTTCGGTTTCGTGCGTGGTGTTTTTTTCGGTTTCGTGCGTGGCTTTTTCGCCAAATGATCAAGGATGCTCCTCGATGGTCCTCGCCGAAGAAAACATGCACACGTCCGAGCGATGCCAAGGCCCAGGGGACGCGCCACGCGCCGACCTGCGTCGGCGCTGACCGCGCCAGCCGGGGGCTCGGTCGGCTCCACATGGCGGGGCCCGGCGCCACGTGGCTCCCAGACTGCTAAACTCAGGTCGGGCATGTCCTCCTGCAGAAGGACAAATCAAAACAACAGAAATAGAAGAAACAAATAGAACAAATAGAAACATATAAGAAAAGGCAATAGAAATAGAAGACATATAATTTAGGCAGGTTGAGCAATAGAAGAAACAAATCAAAACAAAAATAAAAAATGTCGGGGAATCGTCCCCAGAGTATTTTCTGCTACTTTTGAAGACTCGGATACGCCCGACTCTCTGCTGAACTGGGGCAGCCAAACATCGGAGGGGATCGGATCGACGCACCCGCTTCAAGGCCGACCCTCTGGAACCCTGCGGCCGCCAGCCCCGAGCCCCCTGCAGAGATCGAGCACGTGCTCGCGCGCGAGGCCGCACGGGTTCGGCTCGTCGCGGAAGGTGGTGTGCTCCATCGACCAGCGGATGCGGACTCTGCAGGACAGGGTCACGTTCTCGGCCGGCCGCCCTCCGCCTCCTCCTTCCCCCTTCCCCCCCCCCGCCTTGTCTTCCCACCCCTCCCTCCCCCTTGGTCCTCCTGCTCCTGCTCCTGCTCCTGCTCCGGCTGCTGCTGCTGCTGCTGCTGCTGCTGCTCCTCATCCTCCTCATCCTCCTCCTCCTGCCTCTTCCTCCTCCTCGTCCTCCTCCTCCCCGTTGCTCCTCGTCATTTCTTATTCCTCCTCCTCCTCCTCCTCCTCCTCCTCCTCCTCTACCTCCTCTACCTCATCCTCCGCATCCCTCTTCCTCCCGTTGCTCTTCTCCCTCACTCCGCCTCCACCTGCTCCTGGTCCCCTTCCTGCTCCGCCCACTGTTCTCCTCCACCTCCTCCTCCTCCTCCTCCTCCTCCTCCTTCCCCTCCGCCCCTCCTCCTCCTCTCCTCCTCTCCTCCTCCTCCTCCTCCTCCTCCCCCCATTCCTCCTCCTCCTCCTCCTCCTCCTCCTCCTCCTTCCCCTCCGCCCCTCCTCATGTTCCTCTTAAGCCCAGGCTAAGACTGGGTATCATGCACGTGGCACTACGCGACTGAAGTACACAGAGCTGCGACATGCTGAGTCGCCGCGACGGCAAGAGGGTGAACTAACAAAGCTGACACTGCGTCTATACACTCTGCTCCCGATCGTATTTGCTAGAGCACCCTCAAGATGAGAGCGAGCTCGTCGTTGTGTCTGCCATGGATAGGAGGTGCTTAAGCGTTATCCTCCTTCTGGCATTTCCCCAAACTGTCATCCTGCTCCTCATTCCCCAGCCTGACATAAGTAGTGAATCACATAATGCAGAGGACTCCCACAACGAATCATCGTTGGTCTTGCCCGTTTATGACTCCTGCAACGACCCTAGCAGCGACATCCTACTCTATGACCCCTATATCGGTTGCTGCTGTTTACTTTTGAGTCGTGCAGGTAGCCGCTAGATTCCTTATAATTGAGCTTCACATGCAAATCGGTCTGTTGCGCAGCAACTGTCTTCGCAACACCCAGCCCTCGAGCATAGCTGTCGAACCTCTCACTTGCGACAACTGCCGCCCAGGAACAGACACGAACCTCTCTTTCCTGACCATAGCTTGCATGCCTTAACTGAAAAGATCCGCAACCGTGCCCTTGGGCGCGGAGTGGGCGTGTCCTCAGGTCCCTTGCTCAATCCCTCGCACCTCAATCCTCAATCCTGAGAATTCTTTTAAGGCCAGGATCCAGAAGCTCTCGGTTTGGGGCACGTCCACGTTTGCAGAGCGGCGCTCCGCGAATTGTCCTCAAACTAATGGGCTTCGATTGCTTTGCCCCAATTAGCGAGCGCCGCTCCGCTAATGGGCCTCGAACCAGGGGAATAGGATTGCCTTGCTCCCAGTAGTATTAGGTCGGGCATGTCCTCCTACAGGCGGATTTTGGAAGAAACCTGAAAATAGTAAAGAGACATCAAAATCAGCCAGAAAAAGCACGAAACAACGTCATCAGACTGTATGTTTACTATTCTTGCACATTCCTCCTGTAGATGGGGCATGCCCGACTTCACATGAGTGGAGCGGCGCTCGGGCTGGCTGGCTGGATTGGCTGGAATGGTTAGGCTGACTGAGCTGGCGGGTCACGCAGGCAGAGGTCAGACAACAAGCTCGTGAAGGCTGCATCTGGTGACTCGGAATCTTGCGCGCGAGTGGAACTCTGGCATCACGATGTTTTCCACGCTCGAGCGGACACGTTCCGATGACTCAGACTCACACCCAGGAAAATAATTCGGGCAAGGCGATACCCCAGGTCTGTGATCGGGCACGTTGCAATGACTCAGAATTGAGCCTGGGAGTGGATCGCCGATCAGGCACCGCCAATACGCAAACACTTCGAGCCCGTGTGAAGCACTTTCAGGGACAAATTGAACCACCCTCCTCCCCCGCTGGACGGATTCCGCTCAACGGGCCCCAGGGCTAAACAGGAAAAGATGAACGAACAAGCGCGCAGACGAGCGTGGACGGTGGAGTAGAGCGAAGATACACAAAGGTACTGATTTGCACATGAATTCGCGCCAGAGGATGGGGAAGGGGAGGGATAGAGGGCTACGATCATCGCGCTGCCGCAAGGAACGCGAAGTAGGAACGAAGGTTTTCTGTTCTGGCCGCGGCGAACCTCGGCCACGAGTGGGCAGAGGGCCGGAAAATCAGATCCCCTCCGGAGCCTGAAGTTGTAAGTTTCTCCGCATCTTGACTTTAGTTTTAGGTCGGGCATGTCCCCTTAGAGGGGAATTTTGGACGAAAAATTAAAAATACCCCAACAATGCTCAAAAGATGCCCAAAAGTATTCAAACAATAGTCCCCAGACTATTTTTTCACTATTTTTGAATATCCCCCCTGTAGAGGGACAGGCCCGACTTAACTTTAGTTGGCGGCGCGTAGGGGACGGCGAGGGGAGCGCCCTTCTGTCGGGTGTCGCTGGAAGTGCCCCTGGCCCAAGGTGCCCTCAGGATTTCCAAGGATGCCCCCCACGGCCTCCAGAGCACCCTTCACGAGGCCCAGAGGGCCCCAGGGGCTCCAAAGCTGAGCGAAGAGCTGGGGGGCACCTTGGGCCAGGGGGCACCTTCAGCAACCCCCGACTCTGAGAACCCCCCCCCAAACCTCTCAGAAGCTCAGAAGGTGAGGAGCGTGGTCAGGTTTTCAGAAAGCGAGGAGGAGGAGGAGGAGGAGGAGGAGGAGGAGGAGGAGGAGAGGGAGGAGGAGGAGGAGGAGGACGAGGAGGAGTTGGAGGGAGGAGGAGTTGTTGGAGGAGAAGAGGAAGAGCAGCAGCAGCAGCAGCAGCAGGAGGAGCAGGAGTTGTTGGGGGAGGGGAGGAGGGGGAGGAAGGATGAGGAGAGGAGGGGGAGGAGGGAGGAGGGAGGAGGGAGGAGGGGAGGAGGGAGGGGGAGGGGGGGAATGTAGGAGTAGGAGTAGGAGTAGGAGTAGGAGTAGGAGTAGGAGTAGGAGTGGAGGAGGGAGGAAGAGGAGTGAGGAGGGAGGAGGAGGAGGGAGGAGGAGGAGGAGGAGGAGGAGGAGGAGGAGGGAGAGGAGTTGGAGGAGGAGAAGGAGGAGGAGGAGGAGGAGGAGGAAGAGGAGGAGGAGGAGGAGGGAGGAGGAGGAGGAGGAGGAGGAGGGAGGAGGAGGTAGGAGGGCAGGAGGAGGGAGGAGGAGGAGGAGGAGGAGGAGGAGGAGAGGAGGAGGGAGGAGGAGGAGGGAGGAGGGAGGAGGAGGAGGCGAGGAGGGAGGAGTAGGAGTAGAGTAGGAGTTAGGAGTAGGAGTAGGAGGAGAAGGAGGAGTGGAGGAGGAGGAGGAGGAGTTGTTGGAGGGGGGGAGGAGGAGGGGAGCAGCAGGAGGAGGAAAGAGTGATTGGCGGAGGAGGAGGAGGAGGAGGAGGAGAAGGAGGAGGAAAGTCAGTATAAGGGAGGGAGTCGGAGTAGGAGTAAGGAGTAGAGTAGGGAGCTAGGAGTAGGAGTCAAAGCAGACAGCTCGAGCGAGTCAAGCATGGCATGCCCAGTCCCACCCGCCCTCGCACAACATAATAAGCAAAGCGGGGGGAGGGGGGGAGGGGGGGGGGGGGGGGGGGGGGGGGTTTCTTTGGGGCGTGCACAACTGGGGGCCGAAGTCACACCGGCCAGCCGGTTTGGTACAGCTGATGCGGCCGCGATGGCGGTTGCCGACGGGAACTGGCGAGCGCGTGTTGAATGCCGCGCACGCATTGCCAGACGAGTCGAGAATGGCCCGGTACACCGCAGGAAGCCAGAAGGCCCCAACTTGTATTGTTTTTTTTATAACGGGGGGGTTTGGATGGGCGGGCGCGGGGTGCGCGCCGCATCCCATTCCTGCCAAGCATTTTGCGACGTGGGCGACAGGACGTCCATGCTGAGAGGAAAAACGTTGGTGCGCGGCGCCGAGGCGAGAGCGACATGTCACCCCTTCGCGCGGGGTGTGCACCGCGTCCCATTCCTGCCACGCATTTTGCGACGTGACGACAGCACGACCATGTTGAGAAGAAAAACAAAAACTGTGTATTGTCTTTTGCTGATTAGAATGGGACGGATTGGATGGGCGGGCGCGGGGTGTGCGCCGCGTCCCATTCCTGCTTTGCATTTTGCGACGTGGACGACAGGACGTCCATGCGACGGTGCCAATGACGGCGACGACTCTAGAAGATTTGAGCATGCGCTCGCGGCGACGCGCGCGCATGTCGCCCGCGTGGTTTTTTTTTGCACAGGATTCGCGGCCTGGGTGCATGACAGAGCATCGCGAGTGCACCGCGCGATGACGTGAAATCGCTGGATTTGACAGAATTCTTAAGATTCCTATGGTTTTCCTATGATTTCAGCAAGAGAGCCCGGGCAGGAAATTTGTAGTTTTTTTTTTGTGAAAAAAAACATTGGGTTTTTGATGTTTTTATGTTGAAATGCTTGCAAACACAAGGTGTTCGGTAGGATTCTGACATGAACGCGCGCGTGTGCTCTTTGTGGTATTTTCTGCAATGGATTATCGCCGTGGACGACAGGACGTCCATGTCGAGAGGAAAAAATAAGAGAAATGTTGATTTTGTATTGTTTTTTACAGGTTAGGATGGGACCACCCGGATGCGGCCCCTATCGGCCGGCCTGAGGGGGGAGTAGGAGTATATTCTAATAAGGAATAAGGATAGGAGTAGGAGGAGGAGGAGGAGGAGGAGGAGGAGGAGGAGGAGGAGGAGTTGGAGTTGGAGGAGGAGGAGTTGGAGTTGGAGGAGGAGGAGGATGAGGGGGGAGGAGGACGAGGAGGAGGAGGAGGAGGAGGAGGAGGAGGAGGAGGTGGAGTGGGAGGAGGAGGAGGAGGAGGAGGAGGAGGAGGAGGAGCAGGAGCAGAGAGCAGGAGGAGGAGGAGGAGGAGGAGGAGGAGGAGGAGGAAGAGTCCTCTCAAGACGCAGACCGCCCAAAGTTGCCTCTCACACCTCGCGACGCGCGACCAGCTTCGCGCCGCTGCGGTGGCGGCCACCGCCTGCCGCTGCGCCCGCGCGCACGGCGAGGCTTCGGGCGGGAGGGCGGCGCGTCCGCCGAGCTCGGAGCAGCGCGGCCGGGTGGCGCAAGGCTGGCCCTTCCTCCTTCCCGCACGCTCCCGCCTCCTTCCTCCCCCTCCCTCCGCCTCTCCCTGCCTCCCCGGTCCCCCCTCCTGCCTCCCCCCTCCCTCCTCTCCTCGTCCCTCCAGGCCCCTCTCCTCCCTGCGCCCGCCTCCCTGCGCCCGCCTCCCTCCAAGCCCCTCTCTCCTCTCCCGCCCCTCCAAGCCCCTCCTCTACCCCGTCCCTCCCGCCATCCTCCCCCATCCCTGCTCTCTCCCCGCCCCGTGGACGACAGGACGTGCCAGTCCCCCAGCACCCCGTCGAGGGACGGCGCCGTTTGCAGCAGCTGGAGCAGGCACCGCGGCCCTGCGGAGAGAAGGGCGCCGGGCAGCCGTGGCCCCGCGCACCGCCCGCGAGGGGCGCGAGGCGCCGGCCGCGGCGGAGAGGCCACCCGCGGCGCGCTGGCCGCTCGCCAGGGGAAGGACCTCCGTGCAGCCTGGCGGCTCCCGCGCGCCCTGGCCCGTGATGACGTATCGCTCTAAGGTTTTGGAGTCGTGGGCAGTTTATGCCTTCGTTGAAATGTATCGTTTTGCTCACGTTTTGAGCGGCTCTGCTTTAAGAGTTGGCCGGCAACGTTCACTGGGTCGCCTGACTTGAGCAAGGACCGGCCGTCCAGGCATTCCTATAGTCCTACCACGGAACGTTGATAGAACCCACAAATGTTTTAAGAACAAAAACAATGTTCTTAGAACATAAACCCGATGTGTTCAAACAAGACAGACTCCGCCAGGAACGTTCTAAGAACATTTCGTGGAAACCACAAAAGGTTCTTAGAACATCGTTTGGTAGGGCTAAAGGCACGCCAGGACGCTTCGCCACTGCTTGACGTTCACTGGGTCGCCTAGTAAACTTCGCGCACCGCGCCCCGCAGTGCGCGACGCGCGCCCCGTCCTGGCGCCCTCGCGGCGGCGCCCTGGAGAAGGGCGCCTCTCCAGCGCTCTCCAGCACGGGCCGCGCTGCGGGACGCGAGGCACGGGTGCCATTCGACCCCTCGGGCGACCTGCAGTCAAGACGCTGCCCCGAGGAACCCTGAATGAGGAATAAGGCCCTTGTTCTCCACAAATTAAGCCTCGATCTCCCACAGGAAGCCGCAGAGAACCCAAGAAACCCGAGGAACAAACGCCGAAACGATCAAGAGACACTGAGCCCCTCCCCAACCAAAAGAATTCCTTCTTCAGCGGCCCGGCTGTAGGCTTGACTGGAGACCAGGCCGACCCAGAGGCCAGGAAAGACACGCACGTCGAACGCCCTCCAGACCCTGGCCGGGTCCGCGCTGGAGGTGCCGAGCCAGATGAACCTGGGGCTCCGCTGCCTGCTCCTTGGCAACGGGGCCGATGTCAGGAACTGACATACAGCAAGCGGCCATCACCGCATCAGCGCGCGTGCTGCACGAGGGCAGAGACCTGCGAACCAACTCCGCAGCGAACCGACTCCACGCAGCGCCCTGCCCGCAACCGCGCGAAGCACGGCCTGGCAAAGTACCCACACCAACACCTGCAATGGACTGGACGGGAGTGCGACCCTGACCTTCCGTGGACCTGGCGCCGCGCCAGCACAGAGGACGGGCTGAGCCTGGGCACAAGGCAGCCCGATCGGTACAATGGGGGCCAGTCCACAAGAAACCTTCCACAAGAAACCAAACCCTGAGACCGCAGGACGTCAATTGATTTTTTGTGGGAACGTCACGCTTCATCACGCTTCCCATAGCAAAACCAGCGAAACCCAAGAAACCCAGGGCACCCTGGAAGCAAACAGGGTGTTTCTTGGCATGGGCCTCCACTGTAAGCGCCCGGGCGCCTCGCGGACAGCCTCCGGTAGACGTGGCGCTTCACCCATGGCGGAAGGCGGATCAGCGCGACGACACCGACTGCCAGGACAAGACCCGACGAGGTACCATGGAATAGGAAAAAAGCATAAACATGAACTTTTGGCGCAGATCCAGGAGGAACGCGCGGAGCGCCGAAAGTTTACGTATATGCCGTCTTTTCTTCTTCGATACCAGGCCGTCCTCGAGCAAATGAAGACGCGACCGTGCCATCTCAGAGAGATGAGAGGGGTCATCCTGTCGCCGGCGCAGCTCCATGCCAGGGTCACAGTACAGGACCCGCCCTGCCCGCGGTGCAGACAGGAAGCAAATACGCCATATCACATCGCGTGGGAGTGACAGAACCCGCGCAAACGCTAGGCGAGGCCCATTGCGCCTCTGCGCGATCATCTGCACGGGCGCCTCTTCTGGCGAGCTTCAAAGCACGGAAAGCACAAGACACCACCTTCCTTGCTTGGGGCATTCAAATCGATTGGACCGTCGGGCAGATCGGGCAGTGACGGGGATCCGTACACACTCCCCGTCCCCTCCCTCATACGCCCCTGGGACACCAGCACCGCGGCCTCGGTGGTGCTGGTCGTGAGCAGGGTCATCTCGACAACTATCGTGTGGCATGTGACCGCCAATCAATCAGCGCAGTTAACGCTATCTGTGCAAGGTCCTCTGGCCATCGCTCGGACGTCCATTCCCTGTGCTTTTTTCGGTTTCGTGCGTGGCTTTTTCGCCAAATGATCAAGGATGCTCCTCGATGGTCCTCGCCGAAAAAATGCACACGTCCGAGCGATGCCAGGTCCTCAAGCAAGGGCAAGCATCGTCTGACGCGGATCGGCAGGGGCCTTTGCCCTGAATCGAAGGGCTGCCCCGAAGCCGCTCGGGCTGCCGCCTCCGTGCAGGTCGGAGCTGCTTCGCGTGGGGCTTTTGCACGGGCGGTTGGGACCCCGTCCCGGTCGTGCCCCCGTGCGCCAGTCCCCTCCGTGGCTCGCCCAACCCACTGCAACCCATCTTTCATCCCTCCACCTTCTTCCCTCCTCCTCCTCCTCCTTGTTCTCCTCCTCCTTTTTCTCCTCCTCCTCCTCCTCCTCCTCCTCCTCCTCCTCTACCTCTCCTCCTACCTCTCTCCTCCTCCTCCTCCTCATCCTCCTCCTCCTCCTCCTCCTCCTCCTCCTCCTCCTCCTCCTCCTCCTACCTCCTCTCCTCTACTCCTCCTCCTCCTCCTCCTCCTCCTCCTCCTCCTCCTCCTCCTCCTCCTCCTCCTCCTCCTTCCCCTCCTCCTCCCTCTGGCGGTTTCTGCATGCTGAGCCGGCCGTTCGGCTGGGCGGGCGGCCCGCCTGGTGGGAGCACAGGGAGTCGCATCCAGGGTGCACCGCCCAGGCCTCGGGGACGCGTTGGCCGGCAATGACCAGAGGCCTCCCACTTCATACTCCCGCTCCTTCTGCTCCCCCTCCTCCTCCCCTCCTCCTCCTCCTCCTCCTCCTCCTCCTCCTCCTCCTCCTCCTCCTCCTCCTCTCCCTCCTTCCTCCTCTTCTTCATGATCCGCCTGCTCCTCCCCCCTCCTCCTCTTCCTCCACCCCCAAACTTCTCTCGGCACATGTGTCTTCACTTCTTCTTCACCTCTTGCGTTCGTTTAATATTTTCATGTAGTAGCTCTCCAAGTCTTTCTCGGCCGTAGCGGAGCGCGTTCCAACTTGCCTTGAGCCCAAATTCTGCAAACGACGGTGCGCACACGATTCAGCAGTAGTCTAGATACGTACTGAAACATAGGCAGATGGGTCGCGAGGTCGATAGATAACCTGAAATGTTGGTATACTGATAGTGAAATCGACGAGCAGATCGTGCGATCAGTAGACAGCGGGATTTATGTACACATTGGTATTATGTACATCTGCAGACTTGTGTATGTGTATATATATATATATGCATCTATATATACATATATATACACATTCACACGGATAAACATACATATGCATACATACATTTATGTATACACATATACATATAAATGTATATGTCGATGCGTTGCGAACCCGATCGGGCTAGAATCGCAAAGCGACAGCTACGCACATCCCCTTCCCTCCGCCAGAACCATATGTTTGATGCGAAGGGTATCGAATAATGGGCTACGTCGCATGGATACTATGACATATGTTGTTGTGCCCTCTGTTACTCCTCTTCCTCCTCCTCCTTCTCCTCCTGCTGCTCCTCCTCCTCCTCCTTATCTCCCTCCCCTTCCACCTCTCCCTCGTTCTGTTGCTCCTCATCCCCATCAGTCTCCTTATATCTCCCTTCGTTATTTTCCTTCTCAACCACCTCCTCCTCATCTTCCTCCTCCTTTTCCTCCCTCTCTCTGAATCCTTCGTTCCCCCTCCTCCTCCTCCTCCTCCTCCTCCTCCTCCTCCTCCTCCTCCTCTCTCCTCCCTTCCTTCTCCTCCTCCTCCTCCTCCTCTCCTCCTCCTCCTCCTCCTCCTCCTCTCCTCCTTCCTCCTCCTCCTCCTCCTCCTCCTCCTCCTGTCCTCCTCCTCCTCCTCCCCCTCCTCCACCCTTCCTCCACCTCTTCCTCCTCCTCTTCCTGCGTCCCCCCTCGTCTTCCGCCCTCCCCCTTCACCCGGGGGGGGGGCGTGTCTGGGGCCAGCCGGGCCGCGCTTGGAGCCGCCCGCGGGGTCCCGGGGCGAGACGCCCAAGACGAGGGCAGCGAGCAGCGCCAGCATGGCTCCCGGGAAGGTCGGTCGCCCGGGCGCCTTTGGAGCCTGGCGCGTCGCCCTCGGGCCGGAGCCTGGCGGGGGGCGGGGGGGGGGGCAGAGGCAGCAAAGGCGGGGGGGATGAAGGAGGGGGACGGGGCGGATGGTGGGGGGGGCGGAGGGGGAGGGGGGCAAGGGGAGGCGAAAGCGGGGCAGCAGGAGAGGAGGAGGGTAATGGGAAGGAGAGGGCAGAGGATA